TTCGCCAAGACCAGGCACCCCAGCATGGCCCTGCTGAGAGAGCCAAATCATGAAGGCCACATGAGCTACTGTAGGTTTTAACAAGGCCTCTTCAAAGCTGCCTTCACTCTGTGCAGCACCACCGGTGGTAGATGCACCATTCTGCAAACAGGAAGACAGTCTTTGTTCGAGAGGGCTACATGACACGGGATTGTTGGCCAAGGTTTTGGTGTGTTCAAACAACAATCTGACAACGTGAGCAACAATGCCTTCTGCTCAGCTTCCGGTTCACCAAGACCACGCGCCCCAGCATGGCCCTGCTGAGAGAATCAAATCATTCTAGTCACATCAGCTCAGCGTACGCCTGACCTAAATTCCAGGCCTCTTCAATGCTCCCTTCATCCTGAACAGCACCGTTGGTACATGCACCATCCTGCAATGGGGAGCAAAGTCAACATTCATCAGTCACACATACAGCCCATGAGATAGGACTTTGTTGTATTCTTTGAATTCACCATCTGTCGAGTTGCATGCCCCATCCCACAGGACTAGTTCCACAGGCTGCGGGGTGACAGCTATATATATATATATTAGATATATGTATTTACACAAAAATGCCGCTGTCTGCTTGTATGAAAAGATGTGGCAGCCTTCTGATCAGCTGCTGCTTCAGCAGAGCCAGGCGCCATGAGGTCGTCCTCCAACCTCACAAATCAGGAGCATGTTCAGTGACCTAAGCCTTTCTGGTTTCATATGTGAACACATTCCCAAAACACTAATTCAACACTTCGATACGTTCTGCACCACAACTCCTAGGTCATCACTGGTTGCATTTGTAGCTGCAACAAGCTTGGTAGACCTGTGGGATTATATGTTTTACCATGTTATATATACATCAAGGGAGCACAAGGCCACTCCAATCCTTCCCACCATGAAAGGATTCAGGCCCAAGCCTCTTTGGAACAGGGCGGTTGTGCAGCAGATTGAGCCAAATGGCTTCAAGTTTCACATGACACAGGGGTGTTAAACACAGGTTTCCAGCACAGGTCCTTAGTCATTGTCCGGAATCCTTGTTTTTCATCGTTTTTAGGTTTTTTTCAAACCTGCTCTAGAAGTCCTGTTTTGCAATATTGTGCCTGATGACTTAGGCCAAACGTGCTTTATACCAGATTTCCTTTGCCTGATGACTTGGAACCCTCTAATTTTGACGTACCTCCGT